GTGTTAATTATATAAATCAAACATTTTTATTTTCTTTATAAAATTTACACAAAGGGAAATAGTAAAATAATTGATATGCACTGAGTCTGACCTGCAGACTCTGGCCACGCAACAAATGAAAGGAGTTCACAGACACAGGTGTTTTGCCTGTGAGAGTGCTGCCAGAGGACCCCATGGCTTACAGACCCCAAAGAGGGAGTCCAGCTGTGAAGCCCCCATATGCCAGGGACACTTGTATTTATTTAAAACAGAATTAGTGGTAAAGGTCTCAAGCAAACAACATTTGTGGATAATGAACACTGCTGATCCCCTGAGTAGAGAGCAGTTATGAGCACAGATGATCAAAGGTTGGTTTCCAGGTAAATAGGTAAACAAGTTATTGAGATAAACTCCTCTACATTCCCTAGTTATCTGCTCTTTTCTATTAGCTCAAGGTAAGAGGATTAGGCTGCTTTCAGCCATAATCTTTTCCCAAAGCTTTTGCAAAGCCTTCCTGCCTTCAAAGGTTTGTGTTTTTCCTATAATTTTTCTCACCACCCTGACCAACCACCTACATCTCCCCCTTTTCTGTTCTTTACATGAGATTTTGTTGATTGAGGAGTACAGATGTGTGCAGCAACAGGTTTGTCAGGCGCAGCGGCTATAACTCGTATTCCAGCTTTGGATCCTAGAATTAGTAAATAACATAAGACAAACATGAGTATAATCAGTAATATTATTTTTCAACCAAGGAGTGACCCCCAGGAGTGGGGATAAATCCAGGAGATGACATTTGTACTTTTTCAGGTGCTATGATTGAACCTCTTAACTATGTATTCTTTATAACATAGTGGTTGCCAGTAATATGTCATCCATAAAATGAATAATCGTGAAATTAGGAAATTCCTTTCTACTGGGGACTGAGGCATGATTTACATGATACTGACACATCATAGGGCTGTTCACCATTCTTTGAGGAAGCACTTTCCGATGAAATTGGCCAGCCAGCCTTTCATTATTCATAGCTGGTATTGGAAACGCAAGCTTTTCCTATGTCCTGTTTTGCAAAGGTAATAGTATAAAAGCAGTTTTAAAAGTCAATAATGACTATAGGCCAATCTTGAGGAATTGCTCTTGGAGAAGGGAGCCCTTGTGGAAGAAGCCCCATAGGTTGTAGATTAGCATTAATAGTCCCTAACTCATGCAAAAGTCTCCATTCGCCAGACTTTTTGGGAATGATGAAAATGGGCAAATTCCAAGGGCTCCTTGATGGTTCTATGTGGTCTGCTTTTAATTGTTCCTGAACTAATTCATGGGCTCGCTGTAACTTCTCTCACTTTAAAGGCTACTGCTGTACCCAAATAAGATTTTGAGAGATCCACATCAAGGGTAGGGAGAAAGAACAGTGTGCTTATTAGAAAATCGTTTGCTGTTCACATAATTCACCAAGTTCTGCCCTCCAGAGGAGGTATTGACTGGTGTTTAAAGTTGTTTTACCTAGCAATGACCAGTCTCATGGTGTTATGTGGAAGTGGTCTGCTATGGCCTCAGTTAATGCTTTTGTAAATGAGTTAGTGGCTTTGTTTTCTCTAATGCTTTCTCTTATCTCTTTATAAGCATACACCTGATTGCCTTGTTGATCTTGCATCACAGCACAGGCCAAGAGTTTCCCTTCTAATGCCACTTGCCTAAGACAAGGTCCCATAGCTATAGTATAGTGTCTCCCTTTTTTCCAATTTATTAGGGGATGGGGCTCAGGCAAAATCTCCATTTCCTCTTTGGTATTTTTACCTGGTAATTGCTGGGCTGAGGGAGAAGGAGGAGGCAGTAAGGTCAGTGATGTTTCCTTTTCCTTTCCCTTTTTAGGCTCATCTGTGTAGAAAGGGGCCAGAGCAGCTCTAAGACCCATAATGTGAGTGATGTTCCTGGGACTCACTGCCCTTGTGCATGATGCTGTTTAAGATTTCTCCCCACTTGTTCCCAGAGCTCTAGGTCCAGTGTGCCTTATACTGGGAACCATGGGTTATGGGAAGCAACCATCTGCATTAGGCCCCTTCATTGAGCCTGTGAAACAGGCTCCACTGTCTTTAGGCAATTGTTTCAGTACTTTTGATACTGTTTCTGTTGTGCTGAAACTGTTGTCCCATGAGGAAACCCCAGCCTGAACAATTCGCTCAAACTTGGAGATTCTGAGCGGGCACCAATGACACTGACTTACTGACTGCGCAGTCTCTTCGCCTTTGTTTTCGAGGGTTCTGTCGTGATCCATCCCAGCATTTCTCATGCAGAGGCACCCACTGCTGAACCATTGCAGTGATCCTCACACAGAGGCACCAGTTGCCAAGTGTGACCCACAGAGTCCAGCTTCAAAGGAGCCCGCAGACATAAGTCTTTTGACTGTGAGACGGTGGCTAGGGGACCCCATAGCTTGCAGACCCCAACGAGGAAGTCTAGCCATGCAGTGACCATATGCCAGGGACATTTTTGTTTATTTTAGAACTGATTTAATGGCAATGGTCTTTAGCAAACACCATTCGTGGGTAATTAACATTGCTGATCCACCAGTAGAGAACGGTCATGCGTGTGGATGATCAAAGGTTGGTTTCCAGGGGAAATAGGTAAACAAGCTATCTAGATAAACTCCTCTACATTCCATTGTTATCTGCTTTTTGCTATTAGTTGAAGGTAAGAGGATTATGCTGCCTTCAGCCACAACCTATTCCCAAAGCTTTTGCAAAACCTTCCTGCCTTCCAAGAAGGTTTGTGTCTTTCCCATAATTTTTCCCACCACTGTGACCCATCTCCTACAGATATGATATTTTAAGATGATAAAATGATCAAATTTAATTGTCTTGGATATGCTGGATGACACATAAATAAAAAGCACCACTATTCTATAGTTCCAATTATGCTTTTCTGTACTAAGACATATCATACCCCTTAATGATATAATTTCTGTAGCAAAACCCTCTCTAGACTGCTTCCAAGTCATATTTACAGACCAACAACTAATGACCACTTATCCCATTTCTGTGTATACAGGTATATATGCAGGTAGGTAGGTTAGTAGGTAGTATTTTATACACACAAATATACATATAAACTTTATATATTTATATATTTTTATCTATATTTATAAAATATGTAAATACATATGTGTGTGTATGTGTGTGTGTGTGTGTATATATATACATATATATGTTCTATTTATAATTATCATGGTCTAGATTAGAAAGAGTTCTGTTGTCAGAGCAACCATGAATCTCCATGAACCATGAATGGAGAATGTAGCTCGCAGCTTTGACCAAAACTTTCCTGGGGCATCTTTTAATTTTTTTTAGACAGAGTCTTGCTCTGTCACCCAGGCTGGGGTGCAGTGGCATGGTCTCAGCTTACTGCAACCTCCACCTCCCAGGTTCAAGTATTTCTCCTGCCTCAGTCTCCCAAGTAGCTGGAATTACAGTAGTGCACCACTATGCCCAGCTAATTTTTGTATTTTTTAGTAGAGATGGGTTTCACCATGGTGGTAGGCTGGTCCTGAATTCCTGATCTCAGGTGATCTCCTTGCCGTGGACGTCCAAGGTGCTGGGATTATAGGCGTGTGCCGCTGTGGTTTGTTTTTTCTGAGTGCGTGGTTCCCTATATACTCCGTGCAACTCAGTTTTATTTTTTCTATATTGTCTCGGGTTTTTCTGTCATCAGTATTGGCTGCAGTTACCTACTTACCACTTTGATACCTTTCTCTCCTTCTGCCTACTGCTAGATTCCCTTTGGGTATTAACACATTTAGTCAGCAAGTACTAATGGATAAATTATTCCATGGAATATACCTTAAAAAAAGACACATTGAGGCACAACTTCTGCTTTTAAGAGCTATGTATTGTGGCAGAGATTAATTATAAAAAAAGTAAAATTAAATGTGGAAACCAACAAGCAGCTAATTGAGTAGTAAATCATAGCTAGACATCACTTTGGAACTCCTGATATATTGTTATTTGTCCATCATTCCAATAAGGTCTTCTTATATTGCTTAATATCTTAAAACATGTATAAACCTGCATTTTTTGGTCTTCAAAAAGAACATCACACAAGAGCTATAATCTTTCTATAAGAATTTCTTTCTTGGATCTTTTCTCTTTACAAAATCTGTGCTTATTTTAGAAAATAAAAACAAATATATTTTAAGATGATTAACATTGCTATTTTCGAACAACATTTAAAATATGTAACATTGGGCAGCAATCACGCAACTAAGTTTCTTGTCTCTGGAAATATTATTATTATTATCATTATTTGCTATTCTTTCTTAACTCAGTTTAAATCTCCAATAAACTCAAATTTTTACTTCTTATTTATCATTAAAATCTGTACCTAAACCGAGCATGGTGGTTTATGTGTTTAATTGCAGCAATTTGGGAAACTAAGGCAGGAGGATCACTCGACATCAGGAATCCGAGAGTATCATGGATAACAAAGAAAGAACTTGTGGTTACAAGAAAAAAGGAAAGAACATTAGCCAGATGTGGTGACATGCATCTGCAGTCCAGCCACTCAGAGGCTGAGTTAGGAGCATCACTTGAGCTCAGGAGTTCCAGGCTGCAGTGAACTAAAATCATGCTACTGCATCTCAGCTTGGGCAGCACAGTGAGCCCACATCTCAAAAAATTAATTAATGAATTAACTAAAATCTGTACCTAATATATCACACTTTTCAACAATGACCTCTTTTCAGGAAGTGTTGTTTGAATATGTGTATACATACAGTGTCAAACTATATTCTCTAATTAAATCACCTAGTAAGTAAACTTGTTTCTATCATCCTTAATATTTGAAAAGGTCACATAACAATGATATTAATACTAATTTGGTAACATCAATTTATCATTCCCAAGAAAGATTATATAAGACATTAGCATCAATGATGCTGTAAGGTCTTATTCACATCTCCTATACATTAAAGAAAACATATCAGAAAAATACAGGCTGAGTCATGCAAAGACCTTTCTAAAAGTGGTGCTAGTATTACAAAATTAGCTATTCACATTAATTTAATGCAACTGTCAACAACTAAATTTTAAATAAGAGATTTCCTATGCTTTCCACAGTTTTCTGTTAATTTTTAAATATCTTGATATATATGTGATTTTATTAATCTCATTTTTAATACAATAAGGCTAGCACAGAGCTACTGCGTGAATTTAGGCTGACATTTTAATAATGTTTGTTATGATATCTTACTAAATGATTTAGGCAGAGATAAAACTTATTATATTTATCAAATATCTATTTTTATGTGGATTGTATGTTTTTCTATTATTCATTGAGTGCTTATTACTGCCTGTAAGATGGGCATTATCATCATTATTCTATAGGTTGAATAAGAAAAAAAAAGCTTTTTTTTCTTGCCCCTGTTAATCCAGATGTAGGAGAGATGACATTCAAACCTAAATTTCTTCTAGGCACATCAGCACCAGCGAAAGTGGTGGCTGATATTAGAAACTTAAAAACGGTGTAGTATTTTCAGGGCTAATGATTAACTATGTTCAGAAAACATGATAAGATATTTTAGCTAGAAAGCTTGTAATGTGCTAAAGAACTCAGAACTGATCTTATTAAAAAAAAATCTCTGTGATTAGTTCAAAATGATAAAAAGCATGTCCATCTTGGAGATTACATGAACTATTCAGAAGTATAAAATAAAATGAATGTGTCTTGTTATTCAAGTATACATACATAAGTTGCATATATGTAAACATGCGTATACACACAGATAAACACACACAAATGGCCAGCAAGTATATGAAAGGTGCTATACATCACTAACCATCAGAAAAATGCCAATTGAAACCACAGGGAGAAACTTCCTCACATCTTTTAGAATGGTTATTAAAACAACAACAATGAAAGATAAGTGTGAGCAAGGATGTAGAGAAAGAGGAACCTTTGTACATTATTGGTAGAAATAGAAATTTGTACGGCCAATATAAAAAATACTATCAAGATTCCTCAAAAAATTAAAAAGAGAATTACTCTCTGATCCAGCAATCTTAGTTCTGGGTATTTATCCAAAGAAATTGAAATCAAGATCTCGAAGCATATCTGCACTTATGTTCCTTGTAACATTAGTAATATTATTCACAATAATTAAGATATAGAAACAACCCGATGTACATCCACAGGTGAATAAAGAAAATGTAACATCCATACACAATGGAATACTATACAGTCTTCCATAAAAAGAAGATAACCCTGTCATTTGTGACAACATGAGGGAGGTAGACGATACTACGCTAAGCAAAATAAGCCAGATATAGAAAGACATGTGGAATCTAAAACTGTCAAATTTATAGAAGTAGGGAGTAGAATAGTGGTTACCAACAGATGGCAGAAAGCAGTTACGGAGAGATGTTGGTCAAAGGATACAAAGTTTCAGTTATAAAAGATGGATAAGGTCTGAAGATCTACAGCATGGCGACTCTAGGTAACAATGCTGTAATGCATACTTGAAATTTTCTAGGAGGGTAGACCCTATGTGTTGTCAGCACACAAACACACACCTTGTAAGGTGATAGGTTTTGTTAATTAGCTTGATTGTAGTGATTATTTCAATGTGTCTGTGTTGGTGGGGTGTTGGATACCTTAATATACACAATAAAAATACATTTTATAATAGAACTCAAAACATACCGCCAAAAAAACGAACAATAAAGCAAAATGAATGATCACCAAGGATCAATAATCAACAAGATGAAACTTTACATGTGTTAAATATAAAATACTCTTTTTAGTTAAAAACCATGTACAACATGAGATGTGAGAGAAATCTAACTTAATAATAGCTCATAACAAGATCATCTTATGTTCACAGATGAGAATATCACAATTGCTAGAACAGTGATGGCCTGATTTAGACCAAAATCGATGTAAGCAGAAATTCAAGAATTGGGTAGACACTGTGTTCTCCAGTGGCCGGCAACACTCAAAAACTTGTCTTAAGTTCCAGGAAGTAAATTTTGAGCAGGGTACTGACAAATAACAGTTCATACAGACAAGTGTGGCTACCATGTGCAAAGGTAAGGTAATCTCATAAAATGGGGACTGCTTGAAGGAACTGTTTTAGTTTGGAGAAAATGAAAAAAATCAAAGGACCATGAAAGTTTTTCAAATACATGAAAGTCAAGCATGGGTTTAAGAAAGTGTCTGTGATTGTGATAAATGGGTACAAATAAAAGGGAGGTGGGTTACGGTTTAATTTATTGAACATAATTCTACCAATTAATACATTTTCCACAAAACATTAAGCTGGTTTCGTCCTTTATAAGTAAAAGTAAGGATGTTTTCTCATTTGCTTTACAAGGACTCATAATTGTTAGATCTTTGTGACTAGCAGAATTTTGCACGTTTAATAACAGGCGATATTTATTGTTACTAACTCTTGGAAGAAGTGTAAGGATTTCAGTTGTTCTGAATGGGACCATTGTCCCCTTCATGTATAAGACCATGAATTTGATAGGTACTTATTCACTAACGGGAAAAATTTCACAAAATATTTGGAAGCAAGTTAATTTAATACATTATACTTCATGTACTTCCCATTTAGCACCGAGCAATATAAGGGGGGTTGAAAAATATATTTAAAAATGTTATTTTCCAAATTGGATTACATAACTCATATCTTCCATATTCTTGTTTTACTGAAAAATTTAAGATTTAAATAGTGTGATGGTCTAGGCCCAAGGAGTACATGTTATTTTTCTTACAGATTCAATACAACAGGACTTTATGATTTTATTGTAAATTTCTACGTAGAAGAGTATATGATCTGTGATATTTATGTATAGGTGTGTGTATTTGTAATGTACATTCTTCAGTCATAAAATTGTCCTGGGTATCTAGTTTATAATGACAAACTATCAGCCTCAGGAAATGTTACATCTAGCTATTATTTTCCTATAGTACAATGTCACTGTTATTTGCAAATAGTTTCCAAATGGAAAAAGCTTGTCTTTTGAATTAATTTGACATTGACAAAGGAGTAAAGCCTAGGATGAGAAAGTGCTCTTTACTCTGCACCTTTCTGAATGGTCCTAGAAAATGAAGTGGTCATACTGGTCAGAAAATTGAATACAATGGGGGAGAGCTCAGAGAGCTGTCACTTCCAACTCTAAGTGCTACTTAATTATTAATTTATATAGGAAAACATAACTGTGTATGGGAAAGTTCTTTGTTTTATGTTTGCAGTCATTTTGCCTAACATGAGAAACAAGTGCACACACACACACACACACACACACACACAGCTGTGGAATTTTTAAAGAAAATTCCTAACAATTCTTAACATAATGCTTATGTATTTTCCCCTTGTAAAGAGTAAAGCAATAGTCACAAAATTATGGTTAGGTTTATGTATGCCTTTTATCAGTGTAAAGGTCTGAATGTTTGTGTCCCCCTAAAACCAAAATTTGTATGTTAAAGTCCTCATTTCCAAGGCGATGGTATTAGGAGGAAAGTGATTAGATCATGTAGAGGACATATTAGTGTCCTTTTTAATAAGAGACCTCAGGGAACTCTCTACTGCCTTTCACCATATGAAGACACGGGGCAAAGAGAGCCATCTAGGAGCCAGGAGATGAGCCTTCAAAAGATACTGATTCTGCTGCCACTTTGATCTCCAATTTCCCACCCTTCAAATTGTGAGATGTGTTTCTGTTGTGTATAAGCTGATCACTGTACGGTGTTTTGCTATAGCAACCCTGAAAAACTAAGACAATTAAGTATGCATTAGACATGTTATATTGATTACCAGAACCCCAAAGAAATGTTCTTTAGTTTTTCTTCCCATAAGAAATGAAAAGTATTTGGCCCTATATCTTCCATTAATCTAAATAGGCAATGAAGAAAATAATACAACAAATATCCTTATAACATAATAGCAACACTCTGTTTTGATGTAACAGCCTTCAAATAGAAAGATAAATTAAGAGCAGTCTTCCATCTAATTAGAAATAGGTCTGGGTGGATAGTAGGGCCCTTATAAATTGATTAATAACAGAAGTCATAAGGATGCCGCATTCCTTTTCTAAGATAATGCTATACTGCAAGACTCAACTCTGGTAATTTTTCCTGTAAATTTAAGGCAAATAATTCAAAACAAGTGTATATTGTTGCTAAGACATTATCCATATATCTGTTACAGAACTGTTTCAGTCTCATTAAATGGCATTCATAATTATTCCATGCATGTTATAAACAAAGTGTTGGAGTTTACATTTATCCCTGTGGAATATAATTTTATTATTTTATTTTCTCCTTCCTCATGTTTGACAATAGTTTGGGTTGCTGTAGTTTGTTTTTCGTTTGCTTTTTTCTCTTGTATTTATGCTGTCACACAAAGTGTTTGCACCTATCCCAGCTGCATCTGTTCTGTGCCATCTGTGTACCTTCCTGTCATATAGCCTATGTCATGTGCAAGTCATTAATATAAATATTGAACATGATTATCCCCAGGACATATGGTTAGAGACTTCCATCATAGTAGAAAGCAAATCTAAACCTTTAAACTTTGGTTACAGTAGCTTAACGACATATGAATCCACGCAAGAATATTAACACGATATCCAAAGCTCTTTATCTTTTTCATATACACACAACCACCATCACCACTTCCAAAAAATAGATCGAACAAGCTGTTGTAGTCAAAGGTTTATATTTTCAAGACTATCTCAATTGCAAAATTCAAGAGATTATTTGAAACTCAACATTAATAATCTGTCTTTGTTTTATATGTAAAATTTCTGACCCTGACACTGGTAAGTGAGAAGAAAATTCACTGCTGCATGAAGGATGAAGAAAGAACAATCACTAAAAAAATTACTTGGACAAAGAAACCTCTATTATTATCTCAAAATACTATTTACTGTATCTGTATAGCCAGAGAACAGGAAAAAAAGAAAAAGAGGTTGATTACAAAAAATAGCAGTGATTAACTGATCCTGAGCTATGCCATTAAATGTTTTTTGTCAACATAAGGCATTCCAGCTTTATCATCAGCACTAATAGGACTATATGTTTTAGGTAAAACAAAGAGATTTGCATTGGAGGACTACTATTCTTCCTTCCACATAGAGAGATGTTATATATATATGATATAAAATACATATATATTTAAAAATATTTATAAAATCTTGTGTCATATAAATAATATAACATATATATTACATAATAGGTATATTACACTGTTTATATATTTTCTCCTAGTAGTCTGTTTTCTGTTTCTATTGATATTTTTTCTAGTTGAAAAATAGAAACCTGGTAGTAGAAATGATGTCAGATAAAAGAAGCTTAAGGAATGGGCCCTGAGTTATATGAAATTAGATCTCTGATGTAATTTTTTAAAGGCATTGTAATGAGGTTTTCAATGAGAAAGGGGACATTGGTAATCCTCAGAATGTGGTGGCAAATAAGCTATTCAAATCACTGCCTCTGGTTCCCTATAATCAAATGTATACAAAAAGTAAGGGACTGGATAACCAAGTATTTTCTGCTATAATATTGTTTAGTAAAATTAGCATATAATGGAGTTGTTTGACCTCGAGGTATGCTGGAGAACCTAGGCAAAGACAATCAATTAATTGCTTTAATTGTAAGCTCAACATTTGCATAAGAAGCTGGAAAGCTTCTATGACTATAAAAGAATAAGTAACCCAAATCAGAAAATAAAACAATATAATATTTATCTGCTATATCTTTTTTTTTTTCAGACGGAGTTTCGCTCTTGTTACCCAGGCTGGAGTGCAATGGCGCGATCTCGGCTCACCACAACCTCCGCCTCCTGGGTTCAGCCAATTCTCCTGCCTGAGCCTCCTGAGTAGCTGGGATTACAGGCACGCGCCACCATGCCCAGCTAATTTTTTGTAGTTTTCATAGAGACGGGTTTCACCATGTTGACCAGGATGGCCTCAATCTCTTGACCTCATGATCCACCCGTCTTGGCCTCCCAAAGTGCTGGGATTACAGGCGTGAGTCACTGCGCCCAGCCCAATATTTATCTCCTATATCTTAAGAGTAAGAATTTTGAAAACCAAGTTTACAGTTTATTAATGTTCTTGGATGACTTGCAAAGGAAACCAAATTCCCAATTTCATGGGGCCTCTTATTTTCGGAGTTAAAATTTTGAAAGAAGTAAGGCACTAAAACTTAGGGCGAGGATATACAGGTAAAACCAGATGAAACTGGAGACATTGAAACCCTAAACTATGCTGAGTCTCCTCTGCTGTTAAAAGTATCCCTTCTCTTCTATTTGTGGAAGTGAGTTTTCCCTTTTCTGCAGAACCTATAGGGGCCTACACTGAAGTAGCTGCCTTGCAAGTGATAGCAGCATGAGGCAGCTGAATTCCTAGGCAGGAAGGACTGGGTCCTTGATGAAACCCAACCTTCAAACCAAGTACAGTTTAAAGCCTGAAAACTGAGCTGTCATTTCCCAGTAGAGTCCAGGACTTGAGTGAAAACTTTCTCAATGCCTTTTTAGCCAATCAAATGATGTTTTTTCCAGGACTGACCTGGATCAATCAGCATGCAGTGCCACATTATGAGCCCATAAAAACCCTAGATTCAGCCATGTTTTGGGTCTACTAGCCTATGGGTAGGGGCTACCCACTTGGGGTCCATCTCCACTGAGAGTTGTTTTATTGCTTAAAAAACTCTTCTTCACCTTGCTCACTCTTTGATTGTCCATGTAACCTCATTCTTCCTGGATGTGGGACAAGAACCTGAGATCCACTGAATGACAGGTGTGAAAGGTGTTGCAATGCTGCAGCCCTCCTGCTCTCCCTACCACCGGCCAGCTGCTCCACATAGTGGGAAGTGGTAATGGGGCTGGGCCAACCCAGGAGTCATGGGCCAGAGTGGAGCAACAGTACTGAACAAGCTAGGGCATGCTCCCATTGCTTGAAGTGTGTGAACATTGGGAATAAATGAGCTGTACCAC